GATAGAATTGAGTGATCTGGCTTACCATTTTGCTTATAATTTCCCTATCATCTTTACAGATACACCCTCCTTCCCAGTCTTTGTTGTGGGATGAATTGTCTTTTATTTTTTTCTCTTAAGAAATGATTACCTCATTATGTTGCCAAGGTTGGTTTAAGACAACTGGACTCAAATGTTTCTCTTGCCTCAGCTTCCTGAGTTCTGAGATTATAGGGCCACCAAAGATGCTGAAGTCCTAATTCCCTCACACTATTTGTAACTGTGACCTCATTCAGAAACAAAGTCTTTTCAGTATGATCAATGTGATTAGGATAGTCAAAAATCCAATGAAGAAATCCACAGACTCTCAGAGAAGATGGACCTGTGAAAGAGACACAGGAAGAATCCAAAAGCTTGTAGATAGCTATAAAGTCAGGATGTTGGAAGATTTTTTTCAAACACTTGGTTTGCATACAGAATTTTGAGAAACTAAATTTCTGCTGTTTTTTTTTTTTACCATTTCCTCTGAAGCACTTGGTTATGACTCTGTATTACTCCTTTCGCTCTCAGTGGTTTCCTGATCAGAACAGATTCTAGAGTAGGAGGCATAGTCTTAAATAGTTTTTCAGTAAGTTCCAGAGATGGCAGGGCTGACAGAAGTATAAGACATAGGGAATACAAATCAAATGAAGATTGTATTTTTTCCTTTGAGCACAAATACATACTGCAGAATTTCTGTCTGTTCCTCAAAGTGTGGTACTATACCCAGGCTTCAGGACTGGGCTGCTATGGGCAAACAGGATACTCAGTAGAAACAGCACCCAGATACCTTGGTTAGTATCTGAGAGAACAGACATCTCTGAGCCTACACATGGCTTCAAGCCCTAATACCACTGTAACTTGATTTCTGAAATCAGTGTGCATGCCTCAAAGTAGCTTGGGAATACTTGATTTGAAAATATCCTCAACAATGCAGGAGTGACTATTCATATGGAACAAAGGTATTGTCTTACAATGGGACCATGCCTACCGGTGTGTCTGACTATCCATCCATCCATCCATCCATCCATCCATCCATCCATCCATCCATCCATCCATCCATCGAGCCATCCATCTCTTCCCTATAAGTCCTATGATCTGGCTCAAATTTTAGTCTTGATGAAAGGCAAGGAGGCTAACTAGAAAGACAAAGAAGGGGGAGAGGAGGGAAGAAGGAACAGGAAGGAGGGAAGGAAATGACATAGGCATTTGCCTTAGGCCAAGCTTTCTAAGAAAGTTGGCAAATGCTTTGTTTTTATTCTTTCTGCCCCTGTGAGGAAGCTTTCTTATGAACTCTCTCATTTCTATCCCTGGTGTGGCTGATAGCAGCACAGCAGCTCACTTTCCCGTAGAAGAATCTTTGCACAACCTACTCTCCCTCTCCTCCGGGTCCTGTGAGTACAATATTATATACGTGTGGTGGACCAGACCAATACCTCATATATCATGAGGATAAAAAGTCTCTGCAGACTAAACCATGGCACCAAAAACTTGCCATCCTCTATTGAGTTATAAAGGGAAACATGTCTTTGTCAGTTAAGAGCAAATCACGGGCTAGGGACATAGCTCAGTTTCTTAGAATTCAGGAGACCCAAGCACTACATCAGAAAGTCATGGTGGTACATGCCTGTAATACCTCAAGAGGTGGAGGCAGGAGGATCAGAAATTCAAGATCTCCCTTTTCTACATAGTGAATTTGTGGCCAACCTGGGCTACCTAAGACCCTGCCTTTTATGTTTTCTGTTTATTAGGTTAGAGATAACCAACCAGTCAGCTCAGGAACAACAGCATATACTAGAAGCTATGCTGGTCATATGATACTGAAGAATCTTATTTAAAATAGTAATAGTTAGAGTTACCATTGACACCAGATGCTTTTCCCAGTATTGTGGCAAGATGCCGGACAAAAGACCCAATAAGAGAGAGGACTGGTTTGACTTGTGGTTTGAAGGCATGGTGGTCCAGCATGGTGGTAAAGACATGACAGCTGGGATGTGAGGCAGCTGGTCACATGCTCCCTGTATTCAGGAAGCAGAGGGAGATGAATGCCATGACTTAAATCTTGTGTGGGTCTTCCTACCTCAGTTAAACCTCTTTTGGAAACACACTCTTGGGTGTTTGTTTTCTAGGTGTTTCTAAATCCTGTCAAATTGAAAATCAAGGTCAGTCTCCTAGGGAGATCCATGTGTCATTCTCTCTACCCCAGATGCTTCCTCTATACCTAATATCTCTGGGTCTATGGATTGTAACTTGGTTATCATTTACTTAACGGCAGCTAATAATAGATTTTTATGGGTGGATTGGGGGTGGTTAAGGATGGGAACAGGAGGATTGGGTAGGGAGGGGGAGGAGAGATAGGGTTCGGGGAGGGAGTTCAAGGAGAGCTCGCTGGAATTGAGGGGCATTTGAGAGATGATATAAAAACCTAGTGCAGTGGAAACTTCCTAAAATACATGAAGGATGATGAGGACGATGATCCTAATGAGGTCTCCTAATAATGGGGGGTATGGAGTCTCAACTGGTTATCTCTTGTCACCAAATGAGGCTTCCAATAACAGGACTGGGTGGCATTCAATTGAGTTGTTGGCCAAGGGGGTCCTAGGAAAATCCTCAAACCACCCAACCTGTTGCGAAGACAATGGGTTGCTCTCTGAAAACAGACTACAGGGCTCCATTGCCAGGGACAACACCTTCACAACTCAAGTCAAGCTGGTGCCTACATGGAGCCTTCATCCTTACATTCTAGTACCTTTAGTATGGGTAGATACTCTGCAGCCCACCAAAAGAGAAATGTAAACACCAACCCAGCCATGAAACCTCTGACCTGCAATCTCCTGCCTGTAAAATATGCTGAATCAATGGTGGCACAGAGCTCATGGGAGTAGTCAACCAATGTCTGACTTGACTTAAGGTCCACTCCACAAGATGGCGAAGAGCCCAGGAGTGTGAAGTTGTATGCATATTGTTGGTATTCTGGCCCGCCCCTTGGGGACCTGCCCTGCGTCCTGATGTAAAGTCCCCTTTAAAAAAGAAAACCCCTCCCTTCCACTTTCTCTGCTTCCTCCCTTCCTCCCTTCTCCACCATGAGGTGTGCGCATCTCCACTTCCCCTTCCCTCCCTTTCTCTTCTGTCCCTCTTTTCCTCTCTTCTTCTCTCTCTCTATTTTTCTATAATAAACTCTGCATGTGGATGCTGTGCCTGGGGTGTGAGTGACTTTCCATCCTGCTACTCTGCAGCCTGCCACGTCTACATGGCATGTCTGCCTCGCCCGCCATGGGGCACCTTGGCTCCCAACTCTCCAAAGGCCCTGCCTGCTGCATCATGACACCTGTAGCCTACACACATATTCTATGGGATTTGGAGCTGACAGCTGCTTTAGACAAAGGTTAACCTTTAACAGTTGCTTCTACAGGGCCCTTTGCCTCACATTCCTTTCAGCTATGGGGGAAAGTAGCTTGAGTCAAGATAGCCACAGGCTTTCACCAAAACCCTGTAATCAAAAGTTGTAGATCCCAGAATGTACTGTGACTCAAGGCCCAAACTCAAGATTGTAAAAATTCCTCTGACTTTCCTCAAGGCTGTAAAATCCCTTTAATTTCCCACCTGCTGTGTGGTCTTTTACTATAAAAAGAGGCTTGTGGCACCTTTTCATGGTCACAGTGTCAGAATCCCAAACTCCGCCTGTGGCCCTAGCTAGCTAGAAGTTTTGGTACCCTTGCTTCTGGTTAATGAACTTCAGTGGTCTGGCCCCCATTATTCGCACAACCCTAAGACCCAACATTTTGGGAGATCATCTGGGATTGCAGGATTCTGCAAGGACACCCCAGTCTCCGGCAATTTTATTCTGCTGATTCTGGCTGATTGGTAAGTTTTTCTCTGGTTTCTGTATCTGGTGTCCAGGCAAACTGGGGCTCAATGGAGAGCAGGAGGACATGCTGTTGACTTCTGATCCAGAGGGGAATGGGGGATGCCTCAACCCCTCTTCTGGCCATTGGGTTGTTCATTTGTGGACCATATGGCTCATTGTGCTGCATTCTTCTGTCTATGTCTACCGGGTTTTTGTCTCCCCACTTTTGTTTACTTGTTGTCTTGTTTACTTTTGGTCTCCTCACTGTACTTGCTTGTGAATTAACTCCCACCATGGACCGAGCTTCCTCTAAACCTCAGGCCCCCTTGGACCTTGTACTTCCTCATTTTCAGGACTTTGGGGGTGCAGCAGCAGTCTCCGCTGCCCATGTCAAACCTGGACGACTTAGAGTCTTTTTTTCACTAGAATTGCCAGCCTTCTGAGATACATGGCCTCCTGAAGGTTCCTTTGATCTTAAACTTATTCTTAGGGTGCAGGACATCATTTTTAGCCATCCAGGCTATCCAGACCAGGTCCCCTACATCGTGGCCTGGTGCTATCTCCTAGTCAAACCCCATCCTGGCTAAAACCCCCAATTATTTCCTCAGAGAATAAGACTGTCATTTTTCCCATCCAACTGAAGAAATCAAAAGGAAAGTCTAACCTTTCCAGTACTCCTGCAGACTTGCCTTCCCCTTCTGATCCTGGGCTGGATGACTCCCCTCCCCCTCCTTATAACCCCTGACCCCATAGGCAAGTGGGGAATTTCTCTGAAATGGGGAATAGCATGGCTGCTGGCTTCGCTACGACTTTACCTTCTCCTAAACCTTCTGCCCTTCCCAGAGTTCCTCCTTCTCCCCTCCCTCCTTGATTCACCACCTGGGTCAAGGCACCTCCATACTCAGGAAAACCACAAAGAGAAAACAGGTTAGGCCTCTACTGCTCTTCCCCTCTGCACCAGGATCCACCCAATGTGGAGGGCAAACCTTGCCTAGCCTATTTTCTCTTTGCTACTAGTGACTGACACAGCTGTAAGCTCCAAACTCCCTCTTTTACTGAGAAGCCACAAGTGCTAATAGGTCTTCTTGATTCTGTTTTGTTCACCCATCATCCGACTTGGGATAATTACCAACAGCTCCTCCAGGTTCTATTTACCACTGAGGAAAGAGAGAATCTGATGAGAATGCTGCAAGCTGGTCCCAGGGCAAGATGGTTGCGCCAAGGATGATGAGACGACTATTAATACTACCTTCCCCACTTCCGGACCTGACAAGGGATGGGACTAAACACAACTGAAGGTAGGGAGCAGCTGCAGGTCTATCACCAGATTCTTGGGGGGGGGGGACTGAGCAGCTGATAGACAGCTCACAGATTTGTCAAAGGTGAGTCAGGTAGTACAGAAGAAGAATGAGCCACTGGGTGCATTTCTTGCATGCCTGTTGAACACATCATTCCTACACTCCATTGGATCCTGAGGTACCAGAGAATCAGATGGCAATCAATCAGGCTTTCATTAACCAAGCAGCTCCAGCTACTAAAGGCAAACTTCAGTGGCTTGATGGATTCAAAGGTAAAAATTTGTCTGAATTAGTAACTATAGCCACCAAAGTTTATAGTAACAGAGGAGCACCCAAAGATAGACAAACATTAAGGGTTGGTTAAGTTCTTATTGGCATCAGACAGGAGTTGGGGGTACACTGAACTCAGGGACCAACAGCTGTCCCAAATAAACAGTGGGCAAGGAAATAATAAGAACCCCAAGCACCCTGTCTCAAAAAGAATCAATGTGCTTACTACAAGGAAATGGGCCACTGGGAGAAGGAATGTCCCCAGAGAAAGAAAGGACAAAAAAGATGTTAAAAATGGTCAAAATTTCCTCAAACTGGCAGGGATAATGACTGAAGGGGATGAGGCTTGAGGCCCTTCCACAAGCCTTAGGTAACCCTACAAGTGGAGTGGCAAACTGCTGACTTCCTAGTGGACACCGGAACTCAGCATTCCATGTTAAAAACCCCACTAGGGCCTCTATCAAACAAACAAACATTGTTCAAGGGACTACAGGGACAGCTATACATCCACAGACAACAAAACAAACTGTAGACTTGGAAAGCAAAAAGGTTACACGCTTCTTCATGGTTATCCCTGAATGCCCCTACCCCGTCTTGGGAAGACACTTGTTGACCAAGATGGAAGTTCAAATTCATTTTACTGGGAAAAGGGTGATGATCTACCCATGATGTGAAGTCTATGCCTTATGCCTGGACCTAGAAGAATAATACAGGCTTTTCCCACAGATGCTTACTGTAGGTGTGTGTCCTTTGACGCTCGAACTCCAACATTCCATCCCTGGAGTATGGACAGAGACCAGTCTTCCAGAGCTAGCAATCCAGCAGCCCCCAGTCTCAGTTATCTTAGAAGCAAGTGCCAACCAATCTGGGTCAGGCAGTACCCCATGACTCCCAAGTCAAATTGGGCATCACTAAGAATATCAACCAGCTCCTGGAGCATGGAATTCTAGTGCCTTGCCAGTCTCCATGGTGCTGAGGCCTGTGGGGGTATGCAGAAGGTGACAGCTAGTGTTTGACAAGTCGACTCACCAGATGTATAACTTCCTGTTGGGGAGCCCCACCTGGCAAGGCCATGGGGTCACTGGCTGTGGAAAATGGTTGTTTTTTCTCTGTAACTTTCTCATGTGCCACTGCTATACCCCCTAAAAAGAACAGCTGTGGGGTTCCTTCCACGACTCATTGGTAATGTGTTACATCTTTGGGCATACTTAGCTGTGAATGGTAAGGAAGATGATTTCTGTTTAAGCTGTATAATTCTGATGTATAGAAATAATACCGGATTATTTTTCTTTAATAACTCAAGAAAGTAACAGTATTCTCAAAAAGTCTCAAAAAACAGCTAATTTTAAACTTTAGAACAAATTCAAAACAGACTAAGCTGCCCCAGCAGAAAATACACAAAGACAAGATCCCAGGTGTTGTTTGTTGATGAATCAAGGTCAGAACTGAAGCAACTTTGGTAGGCATAACTTCCTCCAATAATTCTCTTTCTGCACGAACCCCTTCTACTCAAGGTTCAGTCTGCTACTGCTATTGTAAGTCCTGAATTTCAAAGTCACTCTCTGTCCGGGAAAGGGCTACATGCTTAGCCAAGCACAACTCACCAGTCAGCATGACCTGTGTGACTTACCTTATCATGTATTATGAGATTGTGTCAGACCCCCGAAAATGTAACATATATCGTCCAGAGTTTGGCTATGGGAGCAGCAATGGCAATGTAGAGAAGGAAGCTATACAGAATGTGAGTAAAATGTACGTGCGCTGAGTGAGAGACGACGACGAAGAAGCATTAGAGAAGGTGAGGGAAATGTGAGAGAATGAATGACCAAAGAGTGAATGAATGATATAGAAGAATATATGTGTGTGAATGAATGTGTGAGAAAGAAAGCTGTGTGAAAGAGCTGCTGCTATGTATAAGAACTGTGTAAAGAGCTGTATGAGAACGTGAAGGAACTGTGTAAAATATTATATGGTGAGAAGCTATGAAAATGAGATGTATAGCTATGGCTGTATGGAGATTTGTAACTGTGTGGAGAGGAAAAGAGTGAGAGAACATTTTTAAGATGAAGTAAAAGAGAAAGTTACCCTCAGAGAGCAAGTGTGTTTCCTTATTTACCTGTCAGATAGATAGAAAGTTATTTCTAAATACCTTTTAAAATGTTTCCTAATCCCTCGCTTCTCTGAGGTCTTCTATTCACAACCCTGGAGCAGTTCTTGGGAGCTGGCCTCCCCCAGACTGTGATACTATGGAACACCCTACTTCTGCTGGTCAAAAAGCCAGGGACCAATGATTATCATCCAGTGCAGGACCTCAGGGACACTCACAGATGGGTTGAAGGTATTCATCCAGTTATATCCAACCCCTATACCCTCTTGAGCTCCCTCTCTCCAGAGCTCCAAGTTTATTCGGTCCTAGTTCATAAAGATGCCTTCTTCAGCCTAATCCTGGAGGCTAAGAGCCAGCCCATCTTTGCCTTCAAATGGCATGACCCAGACCAAGGCTTCAGTGGGCAGCTCACAAGGACCTGCCTACCCTAAGGATTCAAAAACTCCCAACTATCTTTGATGAGGTCCTCCATTGAGATATGAAGGAATAGTGGGCCTCACACCCTGAGGTAAGCCTACTTCAATATGTAGATGACCTCTTTATTGCTTCCAAGGACCAGGGCTCTTGCTTACAGGCAACTAGAGACTTACTGCAAGACTTAGATGACCTAGGATACAAGGTGTCAGCTAAAAAGGCCCAAATCTGCATCTCAGAAGTCATATACCTAGGACACATTCTTTTAAAAAAAAAATAAGAAATGGCTATTACCTTCCCGGAAGCAGAATATCCTGGATATCCCAGCCCCTAAGACCTGAAGGCAAATCTGAGAATTTGTAGGCTCAGAGTTGATTCTGCCAACTCTGGATACCAGGATTTTCTAAAATGGTCAAACCACTATATGCGGCCACTTGTGGGACAGAGGAATCCTTCCTCTAGACAGAGGCTCAAGAAAGGGCTTTTAAAGCCATAAAGGAAAACTCTGCTAAAGGCCCCTATCTTGTTATGCTAGACATAAATAAGCCCTTCCAACTATTTGTAGATGAGAGACTGGGCCTAGCTGAGGGGTTACTGACTCAGTATCTTGGACGCTGGAAGCAGCCTGTGGCCTATTTATCCAAATGGTTGGATCCTGTGGCCTCTGGATGGCCCAGCTGCCTCCGTATCATTGCAGCTACAACCCTCTTGGTCAAGGATGCTGACAAAGTGACTCTGGGGCAACCTCTAAGCATAACTACTCCCCACTTGATAGAGGGGGTTCTCAGTAATCCCCCTGATTGGTGGATGGCCAATGCCCGGTTGACATGTTACCAGGCCTTGCTCCTCAACCCCCTCACATTAGCACTTCTCTCAACCTAGTGACCTTGCTGCCTAACCCAGATTCCGACATCATCCATGACTGCATAGAGGTACTGCAGCAAGTGCATGGAATCTGACCAGAATCGACTAACACCCCCTGGCTGGATCCAGGCCTCACACACTTCAGGGATGGCAGCAGCTTCATCCAGGAAGGAACCAGGTATGCAGGGAATAGTGACATTCTCAGAGACTATCTGGGCCACAGACTTGCCCTCTTTCACCTCAGCACAAAAGGCTGAACTGACTTCCCTAACCAAGACAATTAGGAAAAGACAAAACTATCAATGCTTATTCGGACCGCCGTATGCTTTTGCCATGGTGTAGGTGGAAGATTCTCCGTCCTGCCCAGCCCAGCAGGCCAGATGAATCTCTCCCACTTGTGGTCCCACAACCACTTACAAAATAATTATTCAGTTATAAAACTGTTTGGTCTATGGCTCAGTCTTCTTGATACCTAGGTTTTTCATCTTAAATTAACCTATTTCTATTAATCTGTGTATCGCCATGTGTCTCATGGCTTACTTGTACTTACATCTTGCTCCTCTGGGCAGGTTGCAGCATCCTTGAAAGATGCATTGCTTTGGAGAAGCTGTTTTGCTTTTGTTTCTACAGGAAACAAGAGGTTGTCGATTCGTTCCAGGTTAATATGGATCAGATATGGTCAAGGGAGACCTCCTGAAACTTGACAGGTGATATCTGTCAACAAAAGTTACTGATGGTCTTCAGAGGACTTGGTCATTACCTCAAAATTTTCTCAGGGACTCCTGGGATGCCTTCGCCCAAGGCCAACAAGAGGCAGTATGGAGAAAACTATGCCCACATTCCCAAGAGCTGGGGTGTGGGTGGTCTTCAGTTATTTGGTGGGTTATGGATGTTTGTCTTTGTTTAAAATGTTGGTTACAAATTGTTATGAATAATGATCAGGAAAAAGCTAAACAAAGATTAGATTCAGGTTTTTGTTTTGAAAAGAAAAAAAAGGGGAAATGCTGTGGGATAATGCTCTTGTACCCTGTAAAGATTTGTCACTCCTATTGGTTTAATAAAACACTGATTGGCCAGTAGCCAGGCAGGAAGTGTAGGTGGGGTGATCAGACTAGGAGAAGGCTGGGAAGAGGAAAGGCAGAGAAGAAGTTGCCAGCCAGAAGCAGAAGAAGTGAGATGAGAATGTTGAACTGAGAAAAGGTACCAAGCCACATGGCTAAACCTAGACATGAAGTATGGGTTAATTTAAGTGTAAGAGCTAGTTAGTTATAAGACTGAGCAATAGGCCAAACAGTTTATAATTAATACAAGCCTCTGTGTGTTTATTTGGGACTGAACAGTTGTGGGACCAGGTGGGACAGAAACTTATGTCTACACCACAGCACGTGTCCATTGCCATCTACAGAGAAAGAGGCTTGCTAACTATTGAAGGGAAAACTATTAATAATAAACAAGAGGTCCTAGACTTATTGTCTACTCTCTGGCTCCCAAAAAGACTGGCCATCATCTCTTTCCCAGGATATCAGAAAGGAAACTTTTGTGAAACCCAGGGCAATAGAGAGCAGATCATGCAGCCAAGGAGGCTGCCTGGCCACTATCAATTTACTGATAACAATACCAGACAATATGTTGTCCAAGATACCAGATTATTCTGCCAAGATGGCAAACACCCAGGTTAAAAACAGATGGTTGTATACTACAGATGAAAGACTCATTCTGCCAACTGTAGTGGCCAAGTCCCTGATCTGCCAAATCCACAGGAGGACACATTTATGTCAAAGAAAATTAAAAGAATTCCTAGGCCACTCAAAATTCAAAAATTTCAACATAAATCAGTTAGTGGAGGACTGTGTGACTGAATGGCCCCCCTGCCAGGCTACTAACCCATAAAATAAAGAGCCCTCTCAAAGCAAGAAGGAAAGAGGAACTTCCCCCTGAAGTCCACTGGGAGGTGGATTTCTCCAAGGTAAACCAGGCAAATATGGGTATAAATATCTCCTAGTCTTTATAGGTACTTTTTCAGATTGGATCAAAGCCCTCTCCACTCCAAAAGAGACAGCATCCACAGTAGTCAAGAAGATCATCAATGAATTCATCCCAGGATATGGACTTCCTTCTGTGTGATATATTGTGTACTCTATTAAAATTTGCTAGAAGATTAGATAACAGAGCAAGTCACTAGATTAACCATAGATGTCAGGCAGTGGTTGCACATAGCTTTAATCCTAGCACTCAGAAAGCAGAGATCCATTGGATCTCAAAGTTACCCTAGATTACATGAGATTGACTCAGTCTAGGAAAGAAACAGAGCCAGGCAGTGGTGGCACAATCTTGTGATTTTGCTTTGGAAGCTCACGTGCCTTTAATCCCAGGAAGTGATGGCTTGGTGGAGAACGGTACATAATGTGTGAGGAGACAGGAACTGGAGGCTTTTCAGGCTGAGGAGTCCTAGAGGTGAGACATGGCAGTGACTTGTTCCTTTGTCTCTCTGATCTTCAGGCAAATTTTATTAGGGTACACAATATATCACCACACCTCTGTAATAGGGTCAGACAATAGACCAGCTTTCATCTCTAAGGTAACACAAGATTTAGTTAAATATTGGGAACTAATTGGAAATTGCATTGTACATACCACCCCCAGAGTTCAGGACAGATAGAAAGAATGAATCAGACCCTAAAGGAGACCTCAACTAAATTAACCCTAGACACTGGAGACGACTGAACAGCTCTCCTACCCTTTGCCCTCTTCCGGGTATGGAACACTCCCTCTGAAATCCACATTTGGCAGGCTCCCTCCTCTCGTTCCCGAGCTCCCTTCAGAAGTCATGGCCAGCTGCTGCTGAAGGAGCAGCAAGATGCAGCAGACCAGTAAAGCCATGGAACATGTGGAGATACACGGATTAATAGAAATAGGTTAAGTTATAAGAGCTAGCTAGCAATAAGCCTGACATAGGCCATACAGTTGTAAATAATATTAAGCCTCTGAATGATTATTTTAAAAGTGGCTGAGAAACTATGGAGTTGGGCTGGACACAGGAAAACTTCTGACTACAAAGATGTTTGAATACAAGTTTCTTAAGTCTATCCAGGCACTCCAGGTGGTACAGGACAATATTTTTCCAGTTCTGAGAGATATCTATGAGCTGCCACATGCCAAGCTACATAACCATAAACTGGCAGACCTCGTCTGGAGACATCACAAAGAGCCCCTTGGACCACGCTGGAAGGGTCCACACAGAGTGATCCTGACTATCCCGACTGCTGTGAAAGCTGCTGGGATCAGGACATGGATTCACCACCTCATCTCAAGCATGCTCCTGACGGAAGATCAGACAACTCAGATGCCCAGTGGAGAGCCTTCACACACCCCAAGGACCTGTTAAAGGTAAGACTAAGAGTTCTCAAGCTATCATGACTCTTCTGATTTACTCATGTCTAGTTTCTGGGACCTTTGGGAACCTCCCAATATCTTCTCCTGTTACTTTTATTTGGAGACTTACAGAATTCTGGGCATGATGGCTAACATCTGAGGTATTCCAAATAGATTTTGAGGCAGCCCCAATCTTTATGACTGATTTATGTCATCTAATGCCAGACCTAGTATTCAATCAGATAACTGGAAGATCTGGTCATAGAGGAACCTTCCAACTTGGTTCTCACCCTAGAAAAGCATGCAAATCTCTAGCCTTAACTAAATGTCTCTTAGGAAAATTTCAAGGAAAAATCTACAATGTTTGTCTACCTATCTCTACTCAGTCTGCTCCAGTCAGAATGAGTTCTGGTGTCCATTTTTGGGATGTGAAATTTGGGCTCCTTCTTGGAATGTTGACAATGAGCCCTTAATAACAATATCAGCTTCTGTTAATAGTTCCTGCACAAGACCCATATTCTGTAACCCTATTACTATCCAAGTTACGAGATGGGATACTACACAGCCATAAGCTTGTAGCTCCTAGGATTCAGGAAGATCTTGGGGATTTAGGCTATAGGACTCTGGTAATGACCATGAAATGGCATTTATCATATAGCAACCACAGATTAGGACTCCTGTTGTCCCCATAGAATCTTTACATGACCTCTTTAGGCCTCTCCTGATTCCCATTCAGGTCCTCACAACTCATCCCAGCACCATCCTGATAGTCCAGAATGTCAGAATGTCATCTCACCAGGAATCAAAGTGCTAACTATAACTAGTAAAATAATAAACCAGATTGAACCACCAGTGCCTATGGACCGCTTCTTTGAAATGGTCCTGGCCACCTATTCCCTCCTTAATTCTACCAATACCAATATTGCTCATGACTGCTGGTTATGTCTAGAACCTAGATTGCCCTTTTATATAGCATTAGGTCTTCTGGTTACACAGCCATCCATAACACTCAGGACTGTGTCCCTAACCAACAGGACAGCTTGTCCCTCTTACCCTAGGAAACATTCAAAGAGATGCCACCTGCTTCTGCTCATATAATTATCCCTTAGACAAAACTGCCTATTCATCAATATGCAAAAATATATATTTTTTTTCTCAAGGTCTTCCAATACTCTTAACCTAAACAACTCTTATCAGCTGGTCACCCCATGAGGGTTTTGGTGTGCCTGCCCCATGGGTTTATGTCCCTGTATATTAAGTAGCCTTTATACCATGGGAAACCAACCTGAACTCTGTGTCTTAGTACAAATTGTCCCACAAATATATTTTTATGATGATCTGGCTGGCAGGCAGCATTTGGACTCCTCCTTGGAGCTATGACATAAAGGAGGAAACCCAATCCTTGTCCCTATAATGGTGCAAGTAGGGATTGTGGGTTCTGCCACCCTAGGAGCAGCAGCACTGATCACTAGCTGAGTCAATTACAAGAGCCTCTCTGAGGCTGTGGGAAAAGACCTATTCTGCATCCAGGCAGCAACTGCACACCTTGAACAACAGGCAGACTCTAGCAGAAATGGTTCTACAGAACAGAAGGGAACAGGACTTGCTACTCCTGAGCAAGGAGGGCTATGTGCTGCCTTGGGTAAATCCTGTTGTTTCTATGCTAACCTCTCGGGTGTTGTTGAAAAACACTCAAGAACTCAAAGTGATTCTCCTAGAAAGACAAAAAGAAAGACAGCAATCACTTTCCTGGTTCCATAAGCTCTTTAATTGGTCCCCTCAGCTGACAACCCTATTGGCCTCAATTGATGGACTTACTTGCTGTGGGACGGTCTGTATGTCAAATTGCTCTGATTGGTCAATAAATAAAACACTGGTTGGCCAGTGGCCAGGCAGGAAGTAGGTGGGACAAGGAGAGAGGAGAATTCTGGGAAGCGGAAGGCTGAGGCGGAGAGACACTGCAGCCGCCGCCATGACCAGCAGCATGTGAAGACGCTGGTAAGCCACCAGCCACGTGGCAAGGTATAGATTTATGGAAATGGTTAATTTAAGATAAAAGAACAGTTAGCAAGAAGCCTGCCACGGCCATACAGTTTGTAAGCAATATAAGTCTCTGTGTTTACTTGGTTGGGTCTGAGCGGCTGTGGGACTGGCGGGTGACAAAGATTTGTCCTGACTGTGGGCAAGGCAGGAAAACTCTAGCTACACTTACTCTTTTGATACTCTTAATGATCGGTCCATGTGTGATGAATGTGCTGATTAGATTTGTAAAAGACCACATTTCTTCAGTAGAACTCTTGATTCTTTGCTCACAATATGCAACTGTTGAAAATTCAGACTCAGACTCGGGTTCATATATAGACTCAGAGGAATCAAGACTTTGATGGAGGAGGTGGGAGTGGGGAGGTGGATTGAGGGGGGAGGCTGAGGGTGGGAGGAGGGAGGACAGGGGAGTCCATGGCTGATATATAAAATTAAATTAATTATAAAATAAAATAAAAAAATCTAGAAATAAAAAAAAAAGACTTTGATTCTGGTATACCT